GAGAGAGAGAGAGAGAGGGAGGGAGAGAGGGAGGGAGGGAGAGACAAGGAGAGATGGAGAGAAGACAAGGAGAGATGGAGAGAAGACAAGGAGAGATGGAGAGAAGGAGAGAGAGAGAAGGAGAGAGGGGGAGAGAGAGAGGGAAAGGGAGGGGGAGAGAGAGAGAGAGAGAGAGAGAGAGAGAGAGAGAGAGAATTGAAGGCAAAAGCGCAGAAGCACTTACTACATGGTACTCCTGAAGCTGGGCTGGAACTGAGTACCGATGGTCAGTGGCACTCATCGTAAAGTAGAGAGGTCGATGCAGCTCCAGCCGTTGTATCTTTGCAGGATCTCTTGTCAAAGTTGCAGACAAAGCGATCTTTACAAGCCTTGGAGTGAAAGTCCTAATACCCCGTTCTAAACACCTGCATGTTTAAAGGCACAATGTTACCAAGCTATTGAAATCGGTAATAATAATCCATTCAACAGAAGACCTCAAAGAGTTTCTTTGAATTATCTTGCCATATATTCCTGTTCAAAAAGTATACTAAGGAAAACGATGTTGCTTTACAAAGACGCTAAATTTCAGAAACGCTGGATCTCTGAGATCCTACTGAGCTATTTAGTATTTGCATTATTACGAAGTTACGAAGCAATTTACAACACAACAATGTACATTGTACACCCATGCACGCATTGCTGTTCCGCGACAACTCAAGACCCCAAGCTCTTTCTTAATAATTTCAAAATTAAAAAAAGTCAAGCGTCACAAATATGCCACACTTCGATCCATTTCGGTAATCGTAACTCCCCGAGACTTGATTGGACGCATCTCGCATTTCAAGGGAAGCGTCACAGCAAAAAACTGAAATTCAGTACTTGAACCAGAATCACCCATGAAATCCAGATGATCGTATGGCCCACCTGGGCACCCAGCTGGCCTGGTCGCCATCGCCATGCATTAAATGAAATCCAGAATGATTCACCATACTAGGTGATCTCACCAGTTATAAATGCAGAAAACTTCCCTGCTGCTAGCGCTAAGGAAACAAAAAACGTAACACTACCTGGCATCTGCTCCTGGTCAACTTGATGAACAAAGTGAAGTTGAAAATTGCTGTCTCATTCCACTCTCCTGTCCATGTACCTGGTGCCAGGTACCACGTACTTTTTCTTAGTCCTGCCTGTTCTGAATGGTCCAGGATAAAAACTACGCAAACAAAGACTGTACTTATAGGTTCTGCTTTCGATCTGATAGGTGGCAGTAAACATACGCGGCAATAAAGTGAAACTTCAGCAAAAGGGAACAACGGCTTGGGGCTCTTCGGAACATCCGTTAAAAATAGGAACGATACAGAGAAGATTAGCATGGCCCATGCGCAGGGATGAGAGGGGGAAGGGGGGGGGGGAACAGCAGCTAGGGTTTACCTCATTTTGGGCCAGGTTACGGGTTGAAATCCTGCCAAATTTGGAATGATAGAGAGAAGATTAGCATGGCCCCTCCGCAAGGACGAGGCAAAAAAAAAATAAAAAAAAATGGTGGCTAGCGCTTACCTCATTTTGGGCCAGGTTCCGGGTTCAAGTCCTGCCGGAGCCACAACTTCCTAACAGTGTGTGAAGATGTTTGCCATCACCGTCTCCAACCCTAGATACTGATCTTCTGGAAACTTCTCCTAAGCCTAGTGAGCTATCCCAGCTGGACCCACCAGCCAGCTGCTCACCTCTCCTATGCTCCTCCCCAGTGATACTATTCAGAATAGGATGGAACGTACCGACAAACCGGTGAACTACAACTATTGCGAAAACGTCGAGGAAGCGAAAGGAAAAAGAAATAGGACAAGCACTCGACAAAAAGGACAAAGAAATCATTTGTTAATATCCTTCAGCTTAGGAAGCTCCACACTCCTTGCAAATTTGACTTAGGGCATACTCAGAACTGTACTTCCTGGGCATATCTGGCCTTAAAGCACCAGTACACCACATATTGGCCCGCGGGTGTCAGCATGAAACCCCCACCACTTTGGAGGCCGCCGATTTTTTTTTTCAACGGCAGGCCTGGCCGTGTGGCGCCTCTGAGTTTTGCATGTGGCGACAACAACTTTCTGCAAGGCTGGGGCCGTGTACTGGCGGTTTAAGAGCCGCATTCAGTCCAAAAAGTCCCAGCGCAAGTATGCCCCTCGGCTGTCATCCAAATGGCTCACTCAGGTTTCTGGCCAGAACAACGTTGATTATATAGCTGAGATAAGTTGCATCTTCCTGTGACCAGAGCAGAATCGGGGGCTTGACTGACAGGTTGGCCTTGATGGAGGTAGGGCTAATGCAAGACGAAACTAGAATTCTCTGGTTGACATGAAAACGGTCACTAGCGACTATGGCCAAAAGGTGATGCTAGAATCAGTGGAACTCCGAGACAAGAAAGCTGCTGTGATGTGCAATAAGCTATACTAATAATAACAGTCAAAGGTGGAATTAAAAACCCTCAAGGAACAGGGAAACTCTAAAACCCACTTCACAAAACAATCTAGATGAATTTTCTGAACTACCTGGGTCGGGTCGGGTCGGTTCCGAAGGCAATATCTCAGGCTCATCACCCTTTTTCTTAAACACAGCTTGACCTTCAGGAGATCTGTTAGCATTTGAAAGACAAGCGGCTGTCTGCCGAGGAGGTCTGTTGCCCGCAGCAGATTCGCGCACTGCACAGAGGAGAGGCAACAGGAGGAAGACAGTTTTATTATTCTCTGATACCCTGGACAGCTTCTCAATTCATGCCTACCATCAACTCTCTCTCTCTCTCTCTCTCTCTCTCTCTCTCTCTCTCTCTCTCTCTCTCTCTCTCTCTCTCTCTCTCTCTCGCATACTGTAAAGGTGCAGACCAGAACAAGAACCGACCTCTCTCACATAGTACAAGATAGCGCAGCGGAAGGCTAATATTATACCAATGATCACACCAATCAATGTCGCAATGCACACCAAACATACATCATCATCATTTCATGGTGTGAAAGCGGCTGGCGCTCACACAGGAAGAGTGCGCCAGTCCCCAGCCATACACAGACGAAGAAGAGGGGGGTTCGACGAAGAAGAGGGGAAGATGGGAATGTCGTCAACACCAAGTCTTTGGTACAGGTCCCAAATAATCCCTCGTCCAATGTCTCAATCCCAAATGTCGAGTCTGGATCCAAATGTCATCGAGTCCCAAAGTCACCAATCTCTCTCTCTCTCTCTCTCTCTCTCTCTCTCTCTCTCTCTCTCTCTCTCTCTCTCTCGTAGTCTGCAGATACTGAGAAGTGAGGTAGCGAGAGGGTGAGGGAGAGATGGTGGACTTAGAAGAGGAAGAAGAAGAA